TCGGTGGGTGGGCCGGCGGGAGGGTGGAGGGGCTCCTCGGCCCTTGGACTCCCTTTCCTTTTCATACCCCAACGCCACTGATTTAAAAAGAAACATGGCTAAAATGCAGTCAACAAAAGGAAGAATAAAAAATCATACAACACAAATAAATGACTCCTCCCTCTGGGGATGGTGCTGGCATGGAATGCTGGCAGTCAGGAAGGGCCCAAGAGGAGAAGATGGGCAAGAAGACAACTACAAAAAAAAGTTAAAATATACACAACGGACAAGAAGACGGACTTGTCAAAGTGAACCCCCCACCACCACCCTAGAACATGCGTAGAGTGCCGGGCGGGGCGACAGGACACATTTCTGGTCATTGCTCACTGCCTTTCATTGATTCTCTTTCTCTCTCTCTGACAGATCGATCGCTTCATCCCCGTGACCAAGCTGAAATACTACTTTGCGGTGGACACGGTCTACGTGGGCAAGAAACTGGGGCTGCTTCTCTTCCCTTTCCTGCACGAGGTGAGCTGGGAAGTGGGTCCCGCGGCTCAGCAAAAGGAACACAACTGCAATTGCAAAAACCATCACCGGTGTGCGTGTGTGTGTGTGATTTAGTCCACAAGTCTGAACTCACATCTCCTGCCCTACCTGGTAGATGCGGGGGGGGGGGGACAGCCACCACACCCTTGAGCGCATGTGCCTTTCCCTTTTGCTCCCACCCACCACCGCTTCCCCGGTGCCATCTCACTGTCCGGGTGGCCCAGAAGCAACCGCGGCACACAAGACAGCAGCTTCCAAAGCTTGTCTGCCCCGTTCTTCACTAACGGCTGGCTCCTCTGGAGGCTGGCAGGTGTGTCACTCGGACTCTCTTTGGCAGGACTGGCAGGTGCAGTACCAGCAGGACATCCCCGTGGCACCACGCTTCGATGTCAATGCCCCCGACCTCTATATTCCAGGTACGGCATGTTGCCGTGGGCCGCCTGGAGGGAGGGAGGCAGCTGTAGATGGCTTTGCATGACTAGTGTTAATGGCTGCTTGGAAGCATGCCCTTTTGTGCTGCAATGTGGAGGAAGCATTAAGAGTGTTTTGTAGAGTTGTCTCTTTCACGAGGGAGTCCCTGTGATGAAGCTAATGGGTTTTGAATCTTCCACAGTCATGGCGTTCATCACCTACATTCTGGTGGCAGGACTGGCGATGGGAACACAGAACAGGTGAGAGCTAGCTGGGGACATACCTTTCCCGTCTGATTACCTGGGCTGTGACTTGGTGCCTTTTAAGCCCAAGGTCCCAGCTTCTGTCCCCTGGGGGCATCTCCAGGAAGGAACGGCTTCTCTCTTAGCATGGCCACCACATCTGTGCAGGTTCTCCCCGGACCTGCTGGGCTTGCAGGCGAGCTCAGCCCTGGCATGGCTCATCGTTGAGGTCTTGGCCATCCTCCTCAGCCTCTACCTCGTGACGGTCAACACTGATTTGTCCACCATAGATTTGGTCGCCTTCTCAGGGTACAAGTATGTGGGGTGAGTAGTTCCTGGGGTAGGTGCTGAGGACCTGCTGTGGCCAGAATCAGCTGGGGCAGTGGTGGCTGGCACCCTGCTGGGCTGTGGTGGGCCTCGGGGTAGAGACTGGCACCTTGTGTGTGACCTCTGTGGCCTTTTTTTTTCTCCTTTGCCAGGATGATTGTGGGCCTTCTGGCTGGGCTGCTCTTTGGAAAGACTGGTTATTACCTGCTGCTGAGTTGGTGCTGTCTCACGATTGTGGTGTTCATGGTAAGAGACTGGTAGTGAGAGAGGGTGGGTGTTGCACTTACTTTTCCCTCTCCTAGGGGAAATCATGGCATTGTGGGCACCGGGATGTAGTCTGAGGCTTTCCCCTAGGTTTATTAACATTCCTTATCCCACCTCTCCTCTACCGCACTGGCCGTCGTTGCAGTATTTTGGTGAGGGAGCCCCCTTGTATCCCTCCCAAGCTCAGTGCATCACCCTCCTCCCTTTTTTAAAACCTCTCCTTCCCTGCCACCTCTAGATCCGGACGCTGCGCTTGAAGATCCTGTCGGAAGCGGCGGCAGAAGGCGTGCTGGTGCGGGGCACCAGGAACCAGCTCCGCATGTACCTGACCATGGCTGTGGCTGGCCTGCAGCCGCTCCTCATGTACTGGCTCACCTTCCATCTCATCTACTGACAGTTCCTTTGGGGGCTGACCTGCTCCTCGGTCCACTGACTGCTCATCCCGGTGCAGCCAGGCTGGGAACAGAAGTGGTCCTGGGCACCTGCCACTCCAGCCAGACCACCGTGCTCTCTTGTGTATGTTGGCATGTGGGGAGGACCTATGGGCAGCGGGGAGTGTATCTGTTACGTCTGTGGGTAGGTGGGAAGGAGGTGGCATGTGAGCAAGCATGCATGTGGGAAGCAGGCATCTCTGGTGTAGCCACCCCTTGTTTCAAGAAAAGAGGGAGCAAGTGGTGCCTACCTTGCTCCCTTAGCTGTGGCTTGCCCCCTCTGCATGCAGAACACGCACCCTCCCGGGGCTGGCTTACTGGGCACGCCTCCCATTTGGTTAAACCACCTATGTAGCCACTGCTCCCACCTTCAGGACCGCTCTTGAGCCTATCTTAAGTACCTACTTGTGAGTGACTCAGTATTATTACAGTCAGGAAGGTGACTCAGTATTACTACAGTGGGGAGACATTGGGGGTGTGGGGTAGAGGGGAACCGATCTGCCCTCCCTTAGCCCTTAAAAAGTGCTTGCTTCTCTGTTCACTGTTAAGGCCTCCTCCTGTGCTGTGCCCACAACAAGCAAAATAAAAAGGTAAAAGCTGCATTGTGCCCTGTTCTCTGCCAGGCTGAGAGCTGACCCCACCCCAGACAGGAGCTGCCTTCTGGGCCACGGGGGTGGCGCTTCATCACTCACTGTCTCCTCCTGCTTGCCCCACAAGCTGTGTCTGTCTTTGGTCAGCATTTGCGCAAAAGGGGCCTGGCAAGAGCAGCTGCCTGGCCTCGCTGGACCACGGTGGGGTGGAGAGGTTGCAGGCAAGGTGGGTGCTCTGAGGAATGGGTCTGCCACGTGTGCATGCCTCCAAAGGAGAGCGCAAGCATGCTTCGCTTTTCTCCACCCTGCCTCTACAGCAGGACTGAATCTGTTGCACTGACTGCAAGAACCAACCCCACGCCAGTGCAACTGCTCTCGCTCCCGGCCCTCTTCTTCGGCCCGGCCCAGTGATCCATCACGGCATTGCAACGCCCCTAGTGTTTTATTGTCAGTAGCAATATGCCAAAGCATCGCCCAAAATCAGTGCCAGTTCAGCTGCGTAGGGTCCATTTGCTTCCCCTACGGCTGGGATGGAGGCTCCCGGAAGGAGAAGTGAAGGGAAAGCGGGAGTGAACGCGACCTTCAGTGGCTTTTCTTCTTCATCTTGGGTTTCTTCTCCTTCTTGGGTTTGTGTTTCTTCTTGCGATCTGTGCTGGGGTCCTGCAAAGGGGGAGAAGAGAGAAGCACGCGTCAGGTGTGGATGGGGAGTGCTCCTCGGCCTGCCTGGGGAGTGCTCCTCCTGGCCCTTTGGGGCTGGAAACTCACACACACACACACACACCCAGTTCAGGCTCTGGGGTGAGCGACTCAGTCCCCTTCGGCAGAAGCCAAGGGCAGCCCTGGGGGGGTGAGGTTTGGGGGATGGAAGGAGGAGGAAGGCCCCTCCAGCACCGTACAAGGCATTGCTCCCCCCCCAGCTTGGACAGAAAGTTACGGGCCCCACCTGGGATAGAGGAGGATTGGCTGATCTCTTCCCCTACAAGAAGGGTGTGGCTGGCCTGGAGAACAGCCTAGAGGGAGAGCTGCCTTGCACTCTGTACTCCACCTATTTTGCAGCTGCTTTTTCTTTGATCAAGGGGCTTCCTGCCCAGCAACAGGACCCATCGGTTGTGGTTTCACTACAGTTCCCATCACCCCTCACCGTGGGCTACACTAAGCATGTGGGGTAAAATCCAAAGAAAGGAAGACAAAAAACATAGGGCAGGCAGAAAGTCGGTTCCCCTCCCTGGTCTGCCCTCTGAGCTCCCAGCCAGAACCCTCCAGCTTCCAGAGAGCAAAAGCTGAAACGGGAGAGGGGGTTGATCGGGGTGGAACTGGACCCCAAAAGCTGCCCTCTCCCTGCCAGGTCTTACCTTTCCCTCCTGGTCACACTCGCTGGAGGAGGAGGACGACGACGACGAAGAGGAGGAGGAAGAGGAACGGCTGCCGCCCTGCAAAGGGAGGGAAGGAGAGCTGCAGTTCCTGCCTGCAGTTCTAGGGCTGGGGAGGGGGCTCTAGGTGTCAGGGACCCCCGGAGCTTCTGGGGCAACGCGTCTTCCCCCCCCCCGCCCTGCAAAGGGAGGGAAGGAGAGCTGCGGTTCCTGCCTGCAGTTCTACGGCTGGGGAGGGGGCTCTGGGTGTCAGGGACCCCCGGAGCCTCTGGGGCAACGCGTCTCCGGGACCTCGAAGGGGAGGGAGCCCCCGCAGCCTCCCCCTCCCCCGGCCACTTCGTCCCTACCTCGGGACCCTCGCCGGCGTTCCTGGCTGCAGGAAGGGCACTGGGGGCAGGAGGCTCTCCGACTTTCCCCTCTTGGGGGGCAGCCGTGGCGGCGGCGGCGGGAGGGGCAGGAAGGTCCGGCTTCGGAGCCTCCGGTCCGAGGGCTGCGGGCGGAGAGAAGAGCGTGAGCCGAATAGACGGCGCGGAGGACGGGGGTGAGAAAAGGGGGACCCGGGCGGCGGGAAGGGATGCTGAGCTGGGGGACGGGGCTCGAAAGGAGCCGAGGGGTGGACGCCCACCCCCTTCCCGGCCACAGCTCGTCCAGCGCTGGGTGTTCCCCCTCCCTTCCCCCAGGGACGAGACCCGAAAAGTCTCTCCAAGACGGCCGGAGGTGGTGCGCTCACTGGGAGCCTTTGCCTGGCGCCTAGGGGTGGGGTGGGGTTGCCCCTCTTCTCCCACCCTCGGCAGGGGCGCCCTGCCTCTCAGGGGAAGGCTCCC